TAGAGAGTTTCAGACTTGGAGGCCAGAAGGGAAAATCTTACAGTGGGCTAAAAGACCATAGAAAACTTCATAGATTTAAGCCTGAGTGAAGGCCAAAGCATATTCCTCCCTTACAAATCATTCCCCCTTTCACTTCGACTTCTACTAAAAAGGTATGGGCCTAAACACCAGCATGACTCAGACCAGTCTTTCTTACTTAAAAAAAAGGCAGCTATCTGAAATGGGCTGAATAGTTTGTTTATAAAGCAGGTCACGTTACGAAAATTTACAATAATAAAACATAATCGTTAATTGTGAAAAATAAAGCTTTGTTAAAACGAAAGTAAACATGCCCGTGGTCATCTCTTGCATAATCTTTCCTTGATTATATCTACGGGCTATATCTATGGGCTGAATAATTTTTTTTACAAAGCAGGTCACATTACAAAAAAATAATAGTGGGCCTAAAACATAATCGTTCATTGTGTAACTGAAACGAATCATTGTTAAAACGAAAGTAAACATGCCCTCAGTCATCTCTCATATCATCTACGCTTTTAATGAGCTTTTTGCGTTGTTCCTCTTCCCGCGAAAATCAGTCTTACTTAACTGAACGTTGATTAAGCAGCGATCAGAGAGGATGCGAAAGATACGTAAAAGGCAATCGCGCGAAATTCTTCGGGATACATTTCCAGCAAAGGTTGACCTTTCCATACCGTGACAACTTACAAGTCAAAATAATAAATCTTGGCCGAGGACAAATGAATAAGAATTGAACTGAAGTGATGCTGCCTTTTTCCAAACAGTGAGATCAAGCATTTTGCAAATCAAGCATTTAACAAATCAAACGTTTTCACCAAAATCAGTAATTCTCTTTATTCACCTGGGAGGAAATGAATATGCACTATAAAGAGCGAAGCAAAATCAATCAATTACGATAGCAAAGTAAGAACATTTATCATTTACTAAGCTGCTTGTAATGATTGTTAAATCGTCACACTCTCAGTTATTAAAACGTTCATCTTGTCATTTCAGCAATCCAGAAGAGAATTACTTTCGATATTGAGGAACCCAGCCGGAAATGTATCGCGAAATGATTTTGTTACATTAAAACAGAACAAATTAAAAGCATGTGCCCTAACCTTGTGGACTGACTGTTGGGAATTTCTCTAAAGAAGGCTGCGGAGAACAGCTGGTTCTACTGCGTACACAAGCAAAGGAAATGTGATGTAAATTTGTGGTGTCAACACAGAACTTTTTGTATCATGTGATTTATAAAGCAATCTGAGAAATGCGAGAGTCCTGGAGCGAGTTAGAGACGGACCATTATTTTCCTGAAAGGGGGTATGAAAAATATTGAAAAAAATTGTTTGCAGGGTCTGGAAAGACAAAGTAAGTTGTTTACAAACGTGATAGGGCAAAAAAAATGTTTGCATAGAGGTCAGATAAGATATTAAAAATATTATTACCAAAACTGAAATTTAAAAAACATAACCAATTAAAGCATTAATATAAAAATTAGCACAATTTGGGCACTAAAAGGGTCACTCTGTATTAAGCAAATAACAAATCTGAAAATAGCTGAATTTTTCTTGAAAAAATGAGAATTTATCGTGGCAATTAAATCTCAACTTGTCTTGTCTACATTTTGTCCAGCTACAAAACTTTATATATCAGGTGTTTTTCTTAAAACTGTATTAATTAAACAGATAATAGTCTTCAATCTTGGATATATTTATCATTGCTACTTAATACATATTTCAGAAGTCAATGAGTTACATGAA